GAGAGGAGATGAAGTGAGTGGGAGTGCATTGGGTTGGAGCAGCAGCTCCACCTCCAGTGCCCCATCACTCCTTCCATTGGTGTTAGAAGTGGGAAGGGAAGGATTTAACCCTGGGGCCCTGCACTTTGTCATTTGTTCTGCCAGGGAAACCCAGCCCCACGATAGTCCATCTCACCCCTCACTCACTTTATAGCAATTGCCAGCAGGGCTGGTTGGGGTCTGCAAAGCCACTGTGAGCTGACCAATGCATCCAAGAGCCCCCACCCTCCCACGTGTTTGGTCACAGTTTCTGGGCCATGGGGCCCTGAGTTTCTCCAAGGAATGGAAAGGTTGGGAAGGGACAGTTAGACCCAAATCCCCACCAGGAATGGGATCTGTCCCTCTGGGAGTAGCACAGGACCAATCACACGCCTGGGATCCTCAGAGTCTGTCTCCCAGGGAAACCTCATCCCTGGAGCTCCACGTTCCCTGGATTTGGGGCTTCTGGCAGGGAGCCATGGATGTGGAAAGTGGGTGCCAATGGAGTATGGAAGGGAGGAGCTAATGCTCACCAGGGCATGATGTCACCCCAGGCTATTGATCTTATATGGGCTGCTCCCTGATTACCCCCCGCAAGGTATGCATGGCCCCAGGTCTCCATCTCTGGTTGCACGCAATGGATCAGGGACCTTGGAATGGCCCCTTGAGCATTCACCTTCCCTCCTTCTGCCCCACAGCCTGAGTGACGCCCTGGTGGACAGCAGCAGCATCACGTCAACCACCCACAGGGTTCTCACCACCACCCAGAAGATTGTGGACGGCAAGGTGGTGTCAGAGACCAGCAATACCCAAGTGCTCAAACACTGAGAAGATGTACCCCATGGTTCCTGCTCACTTCCCTTACAGTGTCGCAGGGCCCTGAGTGGGGTGCAGGCAATGGGCTTTGCCTGCCACCTTGCTTGCTTGGTCAGCAGAGCTCAATAAAAAATGCAGTTGGCCACAGAGCCAGACACGTCTCTTGGGCTCTGTTTGGCCTTGTGCAGGAGAGAGAAGGGGCTGTTTCTGAGGCTGGGAAGTGGTCATTTGCTCAAGGCATTCAGAGAGCTTCCTGTGCTGTTGCTTGGCACCCTAGTCATGTAGGGGTATAGCCTTATCTCTGTCATATAGATGGGAAACTGAGATTTGCAACAGTTAAAGTGACTGGCTCAAAGTCAGTCACTTGAAGAGCTGGGATAGATGTCCTGTCCCCTGCTCAAACTACTAACTCCCTAAGTGTATGTCTACACTGCCACCCTAGTTCGAACTAGGTGGCTAATGTAGTCATTCGAACTTGCAAATGAAGCCTGGGGTTAAAATATCCGGGGCTTTATTTGCATGTTCCCGGGCGCCGCCATTTTTAAATGCCCGGTAGTTCGGATTCCCTGCCCGTGGCTACACGCAGCATGGGCTAGGTAGTTCGAATTAAAGCCCCTAATTTGGACTCCCGTTACTCCTCATTGCAGGAGGAATACAAGCTAATTTGAGTTAGGGCTTTAAATCGGAATCCCGTTTCACTGCCGCGTGTAGACGCAGGCAGTTACTTCGGGCTAGTCAATTTCTAAAATGGCGACTGGCCGGAAACATGCAAATCAAGCGCAGGATATTTAAATCCCAGGCTTGATTTGCAATTTTGGTCACCCTTATTAGCCTCCCATGATCGATCTAGGGGGCTAGTGTAGATGTACCCTAACAAGGAGGAAAACCCAGGAATCCTGAATTCAAGCCACCACCCATCCCTGTTCTACCCATCAGATCTCACTCCCCTCCCAAAGCCACAGAGTTCAGAGACCCAACCCCCTCCCCCTCCATATAATTACATAGGACTCCCTCCAGAGCTGGGGACGGAACCCAGGAGTCCTGCGTCCATTAACCATTAACCTTCACTCCCCTCCTATAGTCAGAAATAAGACCCAGGAGTCCTGAGCCTCACCCCCCTGCTTTAACTATTAAGCAGGAGTTCTAAGCACTCACCCTTCCATTTCCCTCCCGTAGGGTTCCTGTCCTGCCCCCTGATGGCAGACTCCAGCTGTGTCTCTGAATGGCCCATTATTGCTGGCACTTGCCCTGCAGTAGGGCTCATGGATTTAACTCCTCTCATGTTAGCATAGGGAAACAGGTTCCCGAGGGGAGTGCTGCGGGGAGAGGGTGCCGGCTCCAGACCTCTCATGGTGCTGAGCTCAGTAATGCCTGTCTCCTAGACATCTCTCAGGGACAGATAGTGCTTTGTCCTACCTTGAGGGCAGGGGACTGGACTCCGTGACCTCTTAAGGTCCCTTCCAGTTCTAGTGTTCTATGATTCTATGAGGGGTTCAGTGTGTAGGAGGGGGCTGTCAGAGTGGGATAGGAATAGGGGTGAGGGTGAGGGGGGGCTGTTGTCCACATGCAGGGTTGCCAGATTTCGCTGGTTTCTGTCCGTGTCGGTTTTTCTCCTACCAGTATTACTAAAGTGACACGTGCTTAAAGCAAGGGCATGTGAAGTGAGCGTGTGTTGATTGCACATAACACTGACTGAGCCGTGCGCTCCCTCTCGCTGCTCCGGCTCTGTCACCACACCCCGCAAATTCTAGGTACACCAATGCAGTGAGCAAAACCCCTATCCTGGGAGACCGGTCGACAATCTTGAGACCCATTGAGATGAAGGAGGGCCACTCACTAGCCTACATTGCCCCTCACTGATCTGGGACTTTGTCCCATCTGGGCATGCACATCAATCCCAGTACTTTGGAATGGCAGTGGCTTGAGTATGCCTGTGTGTGTGTGTAGGCTAGGTGTGCCTGTGTGTGTGCACAAGGGTGTGTGCATAGGCTCAACTGTGTGTGTTCAGCCTCAAGGTGTGTATGTGTGTGTGAAAGCTTGGGCGTGTATTTGTGTCTGCATGGTCATGTGCACAGTCTCGGGATGCATGTGTTTGTGTGCGTGCATAGGTGTATGCACAGGCTCAGCTGTGCATGTTTGTGTGCATAGGTTCAGTGTATGTGTACATGTGCGTGTGTATTCAGGCCTTTGTCATCACTGTGTGTGCAGTGAACCTTACATTCTTCAGCATTTACTGATCAAAATCTAATCCTTCCAAGCTGACCTCTGGGTGCATTCCTGGGCCGTCTGGTGCTACAACTCCCCATCTCTCATGCCAGCAAGTCATTGTCACTTCCCCTGGGCCTGGATCTCTGTTTCCCACTGGCTCAGCAGGAGCAGCCAAGGTGGAGCTGAGAGAACCCCTTAGCTCTGGGATAGCAGCGAAAATAACTCTGACTGGGCACAGCAGGATACAATGCCCTTGGAAACAAATATTTGTTTCTGGGGGTGATGCCTAGGGAGAGGTGGCTTTTTGCTGTCTGTGATGGAGTGGCAGGGCAGGATGGAGCAAGCCCCGCATGCCACACTGAAGCGGTGCTTGGCCCCTGTGCCGCAGGACGCAGGCAGCCATGCCGGGAGTGCTCGGCAGCCGCGGCGTGCGCATGTGCAGGGGTTTCCTAGCATGCCAACCCTGTTGATGGGACAGTGCATGCACCAATGTCCGAGAAAAGGGTGCCAGCGTTGAAAAGAGGGGACGCAGACTGGCAAGGAGGAGTGGAGAGTGAGGAAGAGAGAGTCAGGGCGGCGAAGGAGAGGAGCTGTCAGCGCGACTGGCGGACGGAGGAGAAACCCGGGGCAGCAGGATAGCCACTTGAGAGGGAAGGAAGCAGCCCAGGATAGGGCTGAGAGTAGCCCGCGGGCTGGTGAGTTACGGTACGGCCCCACCGGCCAAACAGGGCACCGTAGTGCCTGTTCATAGGGTCCCGGGCTGAGACCTGGAGTGAGAGAGGGCCCAGGACTCCCTTCCCTCTCCGTGTAAAAGGGGCCACGAGGAGTAATCAGGACCGCGGAAAGACTGGTGACAAACACAGGATAGGTGGGGTACATGGAGGGTGTAAGGACTTGGGGGAGGACTATCACCTCCTCCCTGGGTGAGGGACAGATGCAAACTATAACACTGTGGTAAATCGTGCTGGAAAGGGGCTCTGGGCTGGTGATCAGAAGCCAACCTGGGCAAATGGGGAATTCTCACTGATATCACCCCTCTGTGCATGGGAACCATGGTGTTTGCAGAAAAGAGACCGCTGGGCCTCCCCTGCTAGGCACAGCAAGACCAAGTCTCATGCTAGCTTTGCTTTAAATCCCCAGTTTCTGGAGTCCTGTGGTACAGAGATATTGGAAATGTGACTCGCGGGATCAAAAAACAGATGGCCAAGGAAAAGATCCCAGAATTATTTGTAATGGCATAACTTTGAAGCCATTTGTGAGCCTTAGGGGTTGGCCAGACAGCATGAGCTAGAGATTACAGCACAGGGCTGGGTACCAGGGCACCAGGGTTCTGATCCTGGCCCTAGCAAAGGCAGGGATAACTAGGTCCATCTGCCCAGGGGAGAATTCCCTATTTAGCCAAGGAACGGATGATAAAGGTCCGAGAGGTCCCATCTCCTGTAGGAGGTTCAGGCCCTGGATCCCCCACCAAGAGGTCAGAGTCCTGGATGATTCAGTTACCCAGACTTCCCTGCCTTGTCCCATGGCTGCCTGAGTCATTGCCAAGGACACCCACTTCCTCTGCTGCTCTGGCATGACTCATGCTCAGGGTCCCTGCTCTGCCACTGAAATGGGGGACTTTGCACGCCCCTTTCTGTCAGGATAGGATGAGGGAGGCTCCCTGCACTGAGCGGGGTGCCTAGCTGCAGCAGGATGAGCAAAGCTAAGGTGGACTTTCCCCAAAGTGCAGACTGTGACAGTAAAGAAGCAGCACAAAGACTGGTGCCAACCCAGAGACCATGTAGCCAGCTTGGAAGAAGGGAGAGATCTGTGTGTGTGTGTGTGTGTGTGTGTGTGTTTGTGTGTGCATTCACACAAGGGTGAGTCACTGCTGAGATAACCTTGAGCAGTAACTCCGTTGCCTTGGGGAAAATATATAAACAAAAGCCGCTTGTGCTCCCACCTTATCTCCAGACACAAAAACCTTTGATGCAGTTGGCTTGATCGGCTTGGCAGGAGGATCAGACACACCACACAGAGATAAGGGGAAGACAAGGTTAAGAAATGCATGCCCAACCTAGGACCCTGTGCGTCCTTCTCTGGGCATATCTAGTGCACTGTGCCCAGGAGGAACCTCCAGTGTTGGGAGCTTCCCCACAGCAGTGTCCTGCCAGGATTCCAGTGCTGGGAGCTTCCCCATTGCAATTCAGTTTTCATGGCACTGCCCAGAGAGCAAAAGTTGGCACACCTTCCTACTCCAAACATTTCCCTGCTAGCAGGCACTCAGGAGAGTAGTCCACAGTTAAAATTTAAACAGGTGCAAACATGCCAGGGGCTTTCACATGTCCTGCTGCACATGCTGCCTGTTACTGCTTTAATGACAACTCAGCCAGCAAAGCTTCAGAAAACTGAAGCCGGAGCCTGGCGGTGGGAAGAAGGCTCACAGATGGATTAAAACTTCAAGGTGCAGAAGACCCCTAGCACTCAACAAACTTCAGGCTTAGGTGGCAGGGTGAAAGTCCATTGCATGGGTATCCTGGAGGGCCTCAAACTGGGAGCCCCAAAATGAGGCATTCAGAATTAGGGGCCAATTTGGAAAATATTGTTGGATGTGACTATTTACATCCCCAGGAGCCCCATCTATCTTTCTGTTCAGGGCCTTGTATTCATTTGGCTTTATTTGGGGTGCATTGTGCCCATGACAGAATTGTATATTGTCAAGGGAGTTGTCTCTAGTGGCACTGGATTCCATAGGAACCCTTTGCCCTCTTGCTAGGCCAGTCTGTATTCCAGGAAGCTGGCAGTGCCCCAGCACAGCAAGACAG